TACCGGTACCGACGACCGTACCCGACCCCCCACCCCCACCCTACGGTCGGCCGGTCCGTCCGTAGTTAGTTAGTACTATACGTACCTACGTCCTCTCTCTCTCTCTCTCTCTCTCTCTCTCTCTTTTCAACTTGGTTTTTCTCTCTCTTCACATTTAAAATCTTATTAGATTTGCATGCAATTTTTTTGAAAAATGATCCATCAATAGAAAACCATATTAGATATTATCAAAACCGCAAGAGTTGCCAAGTGCAATCATTGAGAGCACTGAAACGAAATAATTTCTTACCAGGATAGAGCTTTTCTAATTTTTTTAATTTTTTCCGAACTTTTTGGAGAGACAAAATCGTGATTTTCAATATTTATGGCAAATATGATTGTAGCACTCTTATTGCATGAATGATACATATCGTGGCATTTTTAAATGCTTATAATCATCTTGATATAGTACAATCATCATATCAGTGCAAGGCACATGTTTCCAGCAAAGTAATATTATCCTCTATATTATGAAGAGATTTGTTTTATGTATGGACCCGGTTCCTATGCTGCCAAGCCCGCATATGTAGAAATGTGGGCCTCTTGATAAATCTATTTTTGAAATGGATTTTAAGACTTAATTTTTAAGGACATGTAATTTCTAACATGGAGATCATGAATATGAAAAAATAAACAAATTTTAAAAACTAAAACTAATAATTCTAGTAAGAAAACATTTGGATCGTTAGTTTTCATGTTTTTAGATGGAACACCTACTTGCGTCCAGCTTTAAAATGGACGACTTACACTTTATGGACCGCATATGTAGAAATGTGGTCCAGCCCACATGAAACAATTTTCCCTTATGTACTTCATATTTCATTCTTAGGTCAACATATGTAATCCATAGTTTATTTAGGAGTTTTGACGCATCTTAAAACTTCTTATTAACCTTTTACATTTTAAATTAACAAACTTTAGTTTAAAAATATTTTGACTTTTTTTTTTTTAGATTTAGATCTTATCATTTCAAAAATTTAAATATAATTTTATGAATTATTACACCATCATTAATCATAACCAAATTTTATTATTATTATAAATTTTACAATGTTAGAAAATAATATTTTGTCTTTACCACAAAGTAGAAATTCAACTTTGTATCTTTTAAGAATTTTTTAATAAATCTATATTTTATAGTGTGAAGGTTAAAATTTAACAAAACTCATGATTAATTTTTACTAAGGACTTCTATATTATCAATTTTTTTGACGTATTTTCATATTTCATTCTTACATGCAACGCACGTAATCCAACTTGTACAAATGAACAACTAGAAGACTTCCCAAATTCGCCGAAGCACCATGGCACAAGCCTTTACTGGCCAAAACAAAGAGGAATAGATAAGAGAGTCCCAATGTCCTAAAGTCCTCAGGGGCTTCTAAAGAACTGCTTTCAACGTCCGTGCAACATAAAGGAGGAGATGAATTAAGTACATTTAGAAGTACATATATGCTCCAAAATGTCCAAATCACAGTCCACATGTCATAGACCATATCCATGTTCACCTAAACAAAGCATCCCCTCTTTATACCTAGAGTCAAGGAATACATAGACAGTAGTTATAGGTCACGAATCTTCCCATCCTTAAAAAAGGTACCAAGAAATAATCAATCCGACATTGTCTTAAATGTAGAGGTGAGGATTCCAGAGATGGAATCAAACACAAATGTCCCACCAAACAGATCAGAAAAAGTCCCGATCGTCCACCTCCTCAACCTTAGGGAACAACTTTTGAGTGCAAAATTGATCCTGTCTCTAACAAGGAACACTTTGATCAACTCCATATGCACGTTCCCTTTGCAACCATGCTGAAATCTTTTAATAAGGGAATTAGTTTGCCATCCAGCCAGTGGATATATCTCTCTAGAGAATGAACACCATTGATGAAATTTCTCATCCTCAGAACTGTTTCCCAAGAAGTCATTTGACACACCATGACTAAAGGCCATTAACCAAGGAGCCTCACTGCAACTCAATCACATAAAATTTTCCCTAGGAAGCTCATGATTGCCCCGCTGCATCTAGGATGCTGCATAGAAGAGCCCACGTTCTCGGTAGAATGAACCGCGTTGCTCTTTTCCTAATATTGAAAATTGGATAAAGAGCAAGGCCTCGTTGAGTGGAGGAAGAAATCCATCAAGAAGAACTTCATTTCCTAAGCTATTGACACAAGTTAAGGGTGGTGAACTTTATCAAGGAGTGAGACAAAGCTTGAAGCTACCTTCCAAAGGGAAAGTTGAAGACTAATTTTGATTGAAGATCATTCGCAACCGAAGGCCCACTAGTGTGGGGTTATATGTTTTAACTAGAGATAGTTGTACATAACTAAAAATCTTTCGGTGAGAAGGACTGACCACGGAAATACTAGCAAGGTGGAATCCTAAGCCTTCTAACTAGAATTGAATCATTTTGGTCTCCTCTGGATACCAAGCCATTGTAAGGCAACTTTTTTATTGTCATTTATTAGGTCAACAAAAGAAGGCACTATCTAATGAAAACAGGCATATAACTTCTTGAAGTTAGAAAACCTGTGAATAGGGTAGGTCCAACATAAGGGTAACTAATTTTTATGCATCTACAGAGGAAGTAAACCCGATGTAGGTTCTCTAGCCAAAGTAAACCCGATGTAGGTTATCTAGCCAAAGTAAACCCGATGTAGGTTATCTAGCCAAAGTACGATTCAGTAAATGCATTTCATCAGATTTACTTAGGATCCCTTGCTGGATCCTATCATTGCTGCGGACATCTTGTGCACTAACCAACAATGTTAAATAACAAAAAGATAAATTAGTGGAAAAATTCACGAACGGGTAATTTTGAAGATAAATTTTCAACTGGGCAAAAGAACCAACTAGTGGGTCATTTCAGACAAGAACAAATTGTTCCATTAGTCCCACACATTAGTTAGAACTGTGAAAAGCATTTAGGGAATAAAATTGGCCACTGACCTTATTCCTGAAGGATGTTACAATTAACTTGTGTTATATGAGCAAAACAAGGGGCAAAAAACGCAACTTTATTTTGAAATATTATAATTCCCATTACTTCAATATATATATGGTTAGATCGGAACCGGCCCCTTGCCGGTTCCGGTTTCGGGCAGTTTTGGTGATCGACCGGTATTTTAAAAATAAAAATTCAAAAAAAATATCTATAAAATCCTAAAAATAAGGAATTTGATTTGTAATACATTTTTTTATATTTCTTACATTATGGTAAATATTAAAAATTGTTTTGGTCATTAATACTCACTTTTAAAATCCATTTTTTCATTAATTTTCAACTTCATTTGAATGTGTTTTGTTTTAATCATTCTTTATATGCTTTTCATATTTTAGTATTTTTTTTTTTTGCATCTTTTTTATTTTTTCAACAATTTTTTGGCTGCCCGGGACTTGCCCAGTTAGAACTGTTGAATCGGGCGGTTTATCAGTTAGGTCGGTTAAACCGCTTCTGGCCCCATGTCCGGTTCGGTTTTGCGAACACTGGTTCAACCAGTTAGTTGCTCCATAGAGACTCAACCAAGCTCAATCTTGAGCATCACCTTCTTGAATATAAAAACAAAGTAGTTTTGGTATACAATGTAGTGAACACTTGCAGCAGTAAATAGTTAAATACTATGATTTGAAGAATTTTGATACATGTAGAGGAGCAGACCATAAGCAATAATACAAATCTTAAATTGATCAACACAAATAAAAGAAACTACATACTCCAAGTCAGAAAACAAAGATAAGCCCTCTTTTGTCCATCCAAGTATTTCATAATATAATGAAATAATATGTAGAACACAGTTTGTGAATAGAAAATACGTAATTAAACAACTCACTTGCAAGTGCTTCTCGATAGGCTCTAAATACCGCCCTTGCCAATATTCCAGAACCCATGACAATTATGTTTGCCAGTAATTTTGCAGCCTGCCCATACATTTACCCATGAGTGAACCACATGGTGAACCATGTATGTATTTATCTTTTAGGGTAACTAATGCAGGTGTAAATCAAACTGTGTATACTAAACTAGGCAAAATGAAACACTGAAAATGACAAGTGCATAAGAAGGAATAGACAATTGGAAAACGATACATTCATAATATTGGAATAACCTTCCTGCAAAATATGTATACATGTCCAAGTCTTTGCACTTTTCAAAACACAAAAAAATGAAGTTCAAGACGTATAGATAGAAAAATAAATAGCTAAATCAACCTCAAGAGTAGTTCTTCAAAAAGAAAAGTTTAATACATATTTGTTGGAAAAAAATTTCTTAGTTAAGCTTATAGATATTTTTTCCTTATTCCGAACATAAGAAGATCTTCGTGTGCTAAAAGGTTGTGAAGTTAAAAGACATATTGTCCAAATGCATTGAGCAGACAACACAAGAATCAATTTTGTGATAGTTGTAGAAATAGATGTTTCAAATAATCATGCTCATGGTTGTGCAGTGAACTTCAAAATTCAATACACAAAGTAACTTAGGCATTCTAAAACTGCACCATTAAGGTGAAAATTACCGGTTTGTCCAGATAGTTGTGATCATATTACCCTGAATTCCAATTGTTCCAAAGGTGGAGGGCACAAAGGCTCTCACACCGGAGAATTCTTGTTCTCTTTTTTGTTTGTTTGGTTTCTTTTTCACTTGTTTATTTTCTTCTCTGTTTATTGGTCTGTTCCACCTCAAGTGCAAGTTGATGTATAATTGTACACTCCTCTCATGATAGTTTAATGATTTATTGAAATTAATAGACACATGAAATGCCCAAAATCATATGAATTTTTTGAAGTACTGATTTATCCTATCCTTTTTTTCTATTTCCAGGGCCATCTCTAGTTCTCAACAAAGCAAATCTTCATTCAACATGTCAGACTTCTCAATTTGAACCAGAAACCTCGGGCTTCACTTGAAATCTAGTTTGTCGAAACATCATTTAGGATTTTTTTAAAAATATCATCTGAGGATTTTGATATCGAACGTTGGCACATGTAATAAGGAGAGTATACTATAAATGATTTCCCAATCAAGAAGCTTCAGAGTTTGGGACTGTCTTAGTATCCATCCTTCTCAGAATAAGATAACTAAGGCCTAATTTTCTTACTTTTCCTGGTTCATTTTAGTTCCTTAAAACCTTTTTTGTTAAAAAAAAAAGATAAGAAAAAGAAAAATAGAGCATGGCATGATACCAAATATTTAGTTAGTCCAATCCTTGATTTGTATTGAATTGATCGATAGAACCAATTTTATAAGATTGCACTACTTTAATTACAAGCCAGTCACAGGAAAAAGAAGGCTCTATTCATAGTTTACAACAGCACAGAGGTATCAAGGAATCACCAATACGATAAGCATAGCATCAATTTTGGAAGTATCACTCAACTTCAACTCATTTGCATTGTTCATGAAGTATCACATAGGTAGAAAGCCAGAAGAAGAACTATATGATTGATAGAAATTAGGGGTGCCCACATGAATATTAGAAGAATGACTCACACCTGCCAATACTCTTCCATATTGTTGTTGATGTTTACAATCCTGAGTTCCTCAACTTGACAGAGAGAATAATGGGGAAGTTTAAAGAGAAGTTTGAATGTGGATCACATTTATCAGCTGTGAAGGAGAAGGGGTTTACAAGCCCAAGAGGTCAAGAACCTCAAGATGGCTACCATTTTCATGATATGGATGTGAAATCTGGCGTTTCTGACTTCAATTCTTGTGAAGGATTCTATTTTTTATAGCATTTCTAGTAAAATCATTTCCAACAGGGAGCAGCAACAGGTGTTCAGTTTAGATCGATCGTGGACATTATCAAGGTTCTTTTTGTTTTCAAATTTTACCCAGGTTCTTTCGTTGTACATCTTTTGAAGTTGGCCAGTGCGGATGTGGATTTGAAAGTAAGGTGGAAACTAGTAAAGACAATTGTCATATCCTACAATGGGTTAGTTTGCATTGAAGAACTGATGGGCCTGGGAATTTGAACCTTCTAAACATGGGTTTGTGTTTCAAATTAAGGGAGATGGCAAGCCATTTTGGTCGATGTAGAATGCTTTCCAAGGGCATAAATTTTCGCCCAGATGTCCATTTGGGCTGATCCTACGCTTAAACCAAAGAAAGCTTCAAGATCTACAAAGACAGCTACGAGATCTACAAACCATAATCTATGGGTTTTTCACAGTTCAGATGTTTGGGATACAAATCATGCTTGAAGGCATAATGGAAATATCAGTGACGAATTTTATTTTCCCAAGAGTGTCAGATTTCATTATTGAGTCCTGGTTGGATTGGAAACATTTGAGTTAGATAGTTTCCAAGAGTCTTTACGTGTTTGTTTAATATGCTTCCAAAAGTCCAAGTATAGGAAAATAAAACTTTGAAACTCCTTATGAATACCTACATAGGCCTATGGAGAATTCATATTCAAGTGGGGTAATAAAATCAGGTTTTCAATTGTCGTTGGAGGACACTTACAGAGGAGAGATTCCTCAAACATTTTTCAAGAATGAATGATTCTACAAATCTAGCCTAGGTATGGGAGTCTCCCCAAACGAGAGCCTATCAGCTCCTTTTGGTGGAGGTTCTTCTCGGGTAAGTTGGGCCCCATTTTCATTGCCCTCATACCTAGAATTCACATAACCTAATTCGTCAAACAATTCAAAACTTTCCATAAACCTCGGTCAAATCTATGCTCACCTTAGGTAAACTTGCTCAAAAGCTGCCCTAACTACATACCTGGCCTCCATAACCTTCATTCTTTAATTTAATAAACAGATTGCCCTAATTCAACCCTAGAACCTATCTCACTGGACCACCTGAATTCCAGCATGTTTCAACACCTTTAAAAATCTTCAAACCAATCCTAAATCTTGCCCTAATCTAACAAAATTGCTCCCTATAACCCTAACCCTAGTTCTATTTCATTTGGACCTTGTATTATCTAGTACTAACCTTAAAAAGGCCTAAAATCATGTTTCCTTAATTGATGCAGGAACCTAAATCCTTTAGAACTCTCCTTAATCTAACTTAAATAGTATTCCTAGCCATAACGAAACACTTTCTTTCTACACTCACTACACATGTCACACTTGCGAAGGAGCCAAGCCCCTTGGTCCTACATCACCATTCAAGGAAGGAACATTAAAATATTCCAGTTACAAAAGTATCATGACAACCCTAGAGCTATCAGTCTTATTGTATGATTATTATTTGGAAAAGTATAGAAAGAGCCCATTTACTTTTAGCACAAGGAGGTCACAATCACATTGGTCCTCAGATTTCAAATTGGATGGTTGTGAGCATGTTATTGACTAGACTTGAAGTTTAAAAAAAAAATTCTCAAACTTCAGGGCACACCCCAAGCTATCCAATTCGACATATAATGGCTAGGACTAATTGTGACATCCTTATATGAAAGATAAATGGTCTTATGGTATAGAATTACAAAAATATGATTCGTTTAGTTTCAAAGGGAGAGTGTTTTTCATGCTTCCAAGAGATTACATGGAGTTTTAAACGAATCTATTCAAGGAGAATTAACAGATCAACACATTCAGGCAAGAGCAACAAAGGTTAGTCACCAAGCATGGGGAGCATGTGACCATGCATTACATTCAAGCAATAAAACAAGTATATTTGTAATTATTATGCACATGAATAAATTCAAGCATATTTCCCATTGAGAGATGTCACGTTTGTACATTTACTATGAAATGACATTGATATTTAGAGGAAATAGAAAAAATGCACTTCATTTTCATGGAAAGCATCAAATCACCTCTTACAGCTAGCAATTCATACCATAATTGATAAAATGCGAGCTTAAATGACTACAATACATAGCGTTAAAAACAAGGAATCACTTGAAAAACATTGATGCTCTCTAAATTTCAATACCATCCAAATAAACATGTTCAATCTCAGTCATTTCTCTACTCATTTGTAACCCTGAACCCAGTTATATGTAAGAGGCATATATTTTCCGATTTCCATTGCAGCCAACCAAAAGAGCACTAAGTCTAGCACAAAGCTTATAGTGGCTACTAAAAGTGATATTAATGGTTAAGCAATGAGCTAATGAGAGCGAGAAATAAGCATTTCCTCATTTATATGGCCTAGAAAGCCATAATTCTGTATCAAAAAGTGAAAACACAAAATTTGCCAGAGCGCCCAACCTGTGGACTGCCTCCCTCTAAATCTTTTGAATATTTCTATCACTCAATAGAAACGCTAACCTCTTAAAAAACAAACAAAATTGCACTCTCTTGAAAAAAAATATAAATTTAAGAATTCAAAAAATAAATGAAGAAAAAATGATCACTTCTTCATTGTTTTGCATAGAAAACACACCTAGAGAACCAAGATATCTTGGGAATAAGCAATAAATCCACAATAGACTAATTCTAAATTTCCAAAGAACTGGAAAAGAAAAAAAAAAACTTGTTCTTATCAACCTAACTACATTAAAAGGTCACAAAAGTTTTAAGAACTCCTTAATTTAGAGAGAGAGAAATGATGAAAGGGAGAAATCAAATGTAACAACAAAAAACCCTACTATCTTTAACCCTAAAGATAAAAAAGAGAAATCAATAGTGAAGCTTGATAGAAGTATTCTATAGAGAGAGAAAGAGAGCATACCATTTTTGGAATCTAAGATTTATCTTTCTTCTGTCTTCGTGTTCTTCTGCTACTTTTCTTCCTTCTCTCTATTCTTTTTCAGTTGAGAGCCTGAAATATCGAGTTTTCAAAGAGCTTGGGACCTGAAATTCATCTTCACCGTGCCCTATATCTTAATAAAAGCAAACAAATAGTTGAGCCAATAAGTAGTTGATATATACACATCAATTATCTTTTTAAGCACAACTTTGCTTTCATGCGTGTTATTCAATAATATGTTGGGTATTGGTTGAGCAAGGTAAGTTATGGCTTGTTTGGCACCCGCAAATACAAACCCAGGTTTTGGCTCATATCATGATTATGAAAATGCAATCTGTTCAGATCCTTCCATGTCAATTATATGAAGGTTTTTGTTCATATATAAACACAGGTTTTGGTTCATGTCAATTATATACAATTTTCTTCCATTCATGTCCCCAATAAATCCCACCTTCTTTCTCACACAAAGTAAAAATCACTGAAGTCTTATGTTTTGCCCCCATAATGCTAGTCTTTTGTAGAAAGAGTAGTTGCTCATGCTCACCCATGTTCTTAGTTGATAATGGTTTTTAAGAATGAATATTTGTTTGGCCCTTAAGGGGATCTTATCAATGGAAAACCTAACAAGTGACTTAACAATATTGCAACGAACTCTACAGCTTCCCAGGAACATTATACATCTAGATTCAAGTGTCAAACCAGCAGATGAATAAGTCAAATCCAGAGAGAGTAGATAAATGACAACCAAACCCATGGAAAACAAATATATTGCAATAGGATATGAAACCCAATCATAACCAGAGAAATCAAATCAATTGCTTTCATCCAAGAAGGATCAAAAACATATATTGCAAATTTGCAATTTCATACACAGGTATCAGCAAAACAAAAACTTTTAAGCCAGCACAGGGAACATAGAATAAAGGCAAATGTCTAACAGAAGAAAACAGTATATGTACAGGGAACATAGAATGAAAATCCAAGGCCATGATAACCAAAAGCGCACACACTGTGCTCTAGACCGAACCAGTGACAGAACTCGTGACGACACCGGTTCAGTTGGACCGGCACAACCGGACCAGTTCTCTAGTTGGACCGGTTTAAGAAATTAAATAACAAATAAAAATAAGAAAATTTGGGGAAAAATAGAGAAAATTTTGGAAATAACTGAAGAAAAGAAAAATATGGAAAAATAAAAAAATAATGATTGGCAATACACAAAGTCAAACTAATAAAGAAAACAGAAAAGAAAAGGCTCATAATATGATATTAAAACACTAGTCATGAATCTAATTCAAAAAAATAAAAAATAACACAGCAGTCACGAACTACAATCATAAGTACGTAGAAAATAAGTACACCACCACAATTTACTCAAAAAACTGAAAAACCATATAATTCAAGAAACAGAAAACTTATTCTACATGTTCTTTTTATTTCTTTTGTTGTATTTTATGGTTTTTCTGTTTTTTCCAAACCGGAATCGAAAAGTAAAAATAAAAAATAAAAAATGCATTAGACTTCTTTTCTCTTTTTTTTTGGGCATATTTGGTTCATTTTTCTGGCAAGTTGCAATTTAAAAACTGAAAGTACAAAAAAAAATTGCAATTTCACATCAAACAATTTTATTTTTTTTTTGGATTTTCGGATTCACTTTTTAGGGGCTTTTACAATTTTAATTGTAAAATCCCTTACAAATTACAACATTAAAAATTTTAAAATTAAAACTATAAATGTAAGAAAAACCCAAAAATATTAGGTCTTTCCTTTATATATATATATATAGGGAAAAGATGGGATTAGCCCATATGAGCCCAACGTCCCAGATTGATTTTGGGCCGATCTAACGATAACGGATGTCCGGTAGTGTTTGAATTTTAGTTTTTTTTTTTCTACAAATCCAAATCACTTGAAATTTTAAGCGTGTGTTCATCAAAAATAGGTGAATCTTCGAAAAATATCAAAAAAATATTTTGCATGAAATAAATTGACCAAAATACCCCCGAAAAGTTTTGGGGGGTATTTTGGTCATTTTGTTTTTCGAGTATTTTTTTTTTTTTATTAGGTGCGTCCTGATGAGAAGAACACACTTAAAATTTCAAGTGATTTAGAT